GCTGGTCTTCATTTTTTATTTGTTATTTGGTTTGGTTCGGTGACAGGGTTTGACTATGTAGCCTTGGATGGCCTAGAACTCACTATATAGACAAAACTTGCCTCACACTCACAGAAAGCCACCTGCCTCTGTATCTAGAGCACTCTGATTGAAGGCATATACCACCATGCCTGGGTTTTTCATTTTTATTTTTAATTTGTTTAGTTTTTCGAGACAGGGTTTCTCTGTGTAGCCTTGACTTGATCTGTGGACCAGGCTGGCCTGGAACTCACAGACATCTGCCTGCCTCTGCCTTCCAAGTGCTGGGATTAAAAGTATGCCGGCTTCCATGCCTCAACATTTTGTTTTGTTTGAGATATGGTCTGCTCTATAACCTTGACTGCCCTCAGACTGCAGTGTAGCCCCGCTCAGCTTCAAAGATACATGGATCCTCCTGCTTCAGCTTCCTGGCAGCTGGGATCACAAGCATGTGCCACAAGCAGCAGGATTCCATTTAAATAAATAGTCCAAGCTGTGGTGGCGGCACACGCCTGTGATCCTGGCACTTGGGGAGGCAGAGGCAGGCAGATCTCTGTGAGCTCAAGGTCAGCCTGGTCTACAAAGTAAGTCCAGGACAGCCAAGGCCATACAGAGAAACCCTGTCTCAAAAAAAAAAGACAGGAAGAAAGAAAATCTACAGGACAGACAGCAGACGTAGAGTCCCCAAGACAAGGGATTGCTGAGGAGTACAGGGTTTCTTTATGTGAGTGGAGTGGGGAATGAAAGTGGTTGTTTCTGTGTGTGCTTTCTTTTTTTTATTATTATTATTTTTTAGTTTTCGAGACAGGGTTTCTCTGTGTAGCCCTGGCTGTCCTGGAGCCAGCTCTGTAGAACAGGCTGGCCTTGAACTTACTTAGATTCGGCTTCCTCTGCCTCCCAGGTGCTGAGATCAAAGGCGTGCACCACCACCGCCCAGTGTTCGCTGCTTTCCTGAAATGAAGATCTTTCTATGTAGTCCAGGCTGGCCTCAACTTGAAGGCAACCCTCCTACCTCAGTTTGAGTGCTGTGATTACAGGCATGTGCCATCACACCAGGCGTTGTTACGGATGTTTCCCGAGCTCTGGATTAAACCCAGGGCCTTTCATTAGCCACGCAGCACTCTGCCGCTGAGCTATGCCTCTAGCCCTCTTCATTCACGACACGTGTGAATGATACCTCAAAAAGCTGCTGGTAAAATGACTGTTGATGTTGTTCTAGTCAGGACAGGCCTGGAAGGCTTCTGGTATTCAAGCTTCTTTTATAATTGGCTCAAAGCAGTGACATTTGACATTTTCCTGTGAAGTGCTTATGATTCCTACCTTCTTCATCCCTCACAACCCCCACGGAACTGAAGCACAGAGCAATTTGGGCAACTCATCCCTAGATGACACAACTGCTGTTCCACCGAACTGAGGTTCAGTTCCAAGTGTGAAACCAACGCCTGTGTCTGATGTCACAGAGCCATCGTACGCTTTCCTGCCTAGACTCTAAAATCCCAGTCTTTCCTGGATCAGGAAGACATCTCAGGGCAAGGTGAAGAGGTGGTACAAGCAAGGCTTAAAAGCTTGAGGGTTGATAGAGTGCTTGCCCAGGGCCCTGGTTTTGAGTGTGGTGGTGCATGCTTCTAATCCCAGCACTCGGGGACATAGAGGCAGGAGGATCAGTTCAAGGTCATCCTCTGCTCTATAGAGAATCCAAGAAGAGTTAGGGCTACAAGAGATCTCACTTCTAAAGAAAGAAATGGCAAAGGATGGGAGGAAGGAAGGAAGGAAGAAAAAGAGAAGAGGGGAGTTGGAGAGATAGGTCAGGGGATTAAAAAGTGCTTCAAATCCTCAGCACCCGTAAAACCCAGACATGCCCACACATGCTTTTAACGCCAGTATGGAGGGGCTGAGGCAGGCAGGTCCTGGGAGCTCACTGGCCAGCCGGCCCAACCAAAATAGCCTCATCAAGAGGCCCCCTGTTAAGGGACTAAGATGGGGAGTGATAGGGGAAGACACCTGATGTCCTTCTGGGGCCTCTGAATGCGTATGCATGGGCGTACGTACTCACACACACATTTGTACACACATATACCACAAACACAGAAGGAAGGAAGGAAGGAAGGGAGGGAGGGAGGGAGGGAGGGGGAAATGAAAGAAGGGGGAAAGGAAGGAAGGAAGGAAGGAAGGAAGGAAGGAAGGAAGGAAGGAAGGAAGGAAGGAAGGAGTCTGCAGGCAAAGAGGAGCAGTGAGCAAGCTGAGTGGTCCCTGCCTCAGAGAGAGGCTGCCCAGCCTCAAGACACTAACTGCATGGGTCCCAGGGTGTGAGGCGTGGACACCTCCCAGGACAGGAGGAGGGGCTGATTTAGAAAGTAAGTGGAGGGGTTGGCGCCCATAGTCCAGCTACTCCGGAAACTGAAGCAAGAGGGTCACTCGAGCCAGTCAGAGTTTCTCTGTGTAGTCTGGGCTGTCCTGGACTCACTATGTAGACCAGGCTGACCTTGAACTCACAGAGATCTGCCTGCCTCTTGTCTCCCAGACTGCTGGGATCACAGGCATGTGCCACCACGCCCAGCTTCCAACCTGAGGTTCAAAGTCAACCTGAACAACACAGTGAACCCTCGTCACAAAACAAACTCCTGGCCCTCAGTGTCAAAGGTTCTGATGCAGTGGATCTGAGACCTCGGATCCAGGGTCAGCAAACTCCTGGAGCGCTTCTGAGCGGGAGGTCCAGGAACTGGATGGTGAGACATCCTGAACAACCTTCTCCTTCTGGGGAGCCCTCCTTTCCTTCCCAGCCTTCACCTTCTCTTCCTTCATTTGGCTCACACTCCCCTCCCTGTGGCTGAGGCCTCATGGAACACCCCAGAGGCTCTGTTGCTCTGTCTCACCTGGGACCATGTGCCCTGCCTTCCTCCGCTCTACCCTTTCTCCCCAGACACCTCATGGCAGCTTCCTGTGTCCCTTGTCCTCCCACCAGGGCTCACCCTTATGAAGCTGTGTCTTAACAAAGCCCTCCTCTAACCACAGGCATATTTTTTTTCTTGCACTTGTAAGACGAGGAGGAAGAGATCATGAGGAAAGGGACACAGAGTGCATGGAGGTATTTTAGAGGAGCCATTACCACCACCACCACCACTACTGTTGTTATTTTATTGCCACCTGAGTTTGAGCAGGCCAGTTCCTGGATCTCGAAAATGGTAAGCACGTTTGTGCCAAGCGCTGTGTTAATTTATACAACACAGCTGTTACCATCTCCAGTTTATACTCGAGGGAAGCGAGCAAAGCACACACAGCCAGGAGCCGACAGCACTTCCATTTGAACTGAAGCATCGGGTTTCCCACTTCCTCTCATTTTGCTGTTGTTTGTTTTATTTCTGTTTATTGCCAGAATCCAAACCCCAGAACTCGCACAGCTTAGGCATCGACTCTGTCATTGAGCTGCATCCCGAGACTCCAGCCCCAGGTCCTAAGGGCTTTTCATTTTTTCCCTAACATTTTTGGAAAAAACAATGTTTTTATGTAAGTGTGCACATGTGCAGAAGTCAGGGGTGGGGCAGCTTGAGGGAGATGCTTCTCTCTGCCCTGTGGATTCTGGGAACCAAACTTAGGTCTTCAGTCTTGGTGGCAAGTCTCTTCATCCGCTGAGCCATCTTGCCAGGCCCCGTTTTTCAGCCTGCAATTATCACATTGTACAGGCATCCACAGTTCTGAGGCTCACTCTTAGAACAAACGCTAAGACACTGGACACAGGGCCTGGGGTGAGGCGCTGCTCAGGGGATGTGGTAACCCGAGGTAAGTTGAAAGTCTGTGCATCAAGGCTGCACACCAAAGACTTTACTACTCATGAAGGCTTGTGGGCGGGGGGCGGGGTTAGAGAGCGTCTGCTGTCCAAGTCTGACAACCTGAGTCCCATCGCTGGAACCCATGTAAAAAGTGGTGCGTGTCTGCAAACCTGGGACTCCTGCGATGGGACAGGAGGGAGAGACAGAGGCCATCCCTGGAGCTCGTGGGCTAGCTAGCTTAATATATGCAAGGCAGCGGCAGAGACAAGGGAGACCCTGCCTCAAGCGAGGTGGAAGGCAAGGACTTAGCCCAGAGGGGGTTCTCTGATTTCCATACCCTTACACGCACATCATAGACACACGTAAACAAAACAATAGGTAAATAAACAATTCTGTAAAGACATCACTGCTCACTATGTCTCATGTCTTTTATTTGGTAAGACTCAACATCTGAAGGACTCTGATGACAATGGGTTGTAAAATAATAATAATAATAATTCGAAAAAAAATCAGATCAGGTAGAATGGGGTGTCCCATTCTTAGTGGGTCCAACACTTGTCGGTCTTCTAGAGTGGCATGATGGCGGGCGTTAACTTCCGAAAATTATATCATAGAGATAGAAGGAAGAATGGAGGATGCAGGGTCGTTGATCTGGCCCCAAGTATCTCTCTCACCCGCTGCCACCTTCTGAACCTCTCTCCAGACACTTTCCTTATGGACAACTGGGACCCAATGGAAACAATTCCTGCATGTTATTTTCTAATCAAGGAGCTGCAGGAGCTGGCAACCCCTCCACTCTAACTCCAGATTTTCTTTTAATTCAAGACATTAATCATACCTATTTTCCATAGCTAGCTGTAAAATCCCAGGTAGACCAGAAGGCCTTCCTTCTGAGCCTGCTAGAGAATAAGCTAGTTTCTCACCTCAGTCCTGTAGCTTATATTTCTTCCAATCCAGCAAGCCATGAGATTATGTTAAGGGATGTCTTCAGCCCTGTGCTCTTTCACACAATGGCCTAGCTTCAGGTAAAGTCTAGATGGTGCTGGCAGTTGAACACAGAACAAATCTATTGACTAATCTAAGACCCAAGGCGGCACAAATCGGCCCAGGTCTCAGAGAAACAACAGTAATAAAAAATAATAATAATAAAAAAAAGGCAACCCCAGTCGGGTTACAGGACACAACAGATAAACAAGAGTCGCCCCCAAAATCTGACTAGGAGGCTTTCCGGAAATGGACAACTTTTTGAAATGCTTGTCTAAAGTCCTCATTGAACACGGTGTAGATGATGGGGTTGATGAGGGAGTTTAAATAACCCAGCCACGTGAAGAAGTCAAAGAGAGCCGGGTGGATCCAACAGGAGGCCCTGCAGATGGGGAGGACCAGGGACACCACGAAGAAAGGCAGCCAGCAGATGATGAAGGCCCCGAGGATGATGCCCAACGTCTTAGTGGCTTTCTTTTCTCGAGCTGCGGAGATCCTCTTGCGTTCTAGGATGCTATCAGCGAGCTTGATTTTCACTTGGTTGAAAAAGACGGGGGAGCCGGCGGTGTGCGTGTGGCTCTCGTGGAGGCTGGGGTTGAGCGAGCAGAGTGAAGACCCCGAGGAGCCGGTGATGAGCTGTGCGGTGGTGAAGCGCTTCCCGTAGAGGGAGGGTGGGTTCAGGATCCGACTCCGGGCGGCCACGTATATGCGGCCGTACAGGATGATGAGCAAGATGGACGGGATGTAGAAGGCCCCACAGGTGGAGTAGATGGTGTAGGAGATCTGAGACGTGTTCACCAGGCAGTCGGACATCTCCTCGTGAGCTGTGGCCTGACGCCAGAAGAGCGGTGGGATGGAGATGCAGATGGAGATGGCCCAGACTGCCGCAATCATGGCTGCCGCGTGGCCTGCTGTCCTGCGCTTGCTGTACTCCAGGGCGTCGGTGATGGCCCAGTATCTGTCCAGGGCGATGACACAGAGATGCAAGATGGAGGCCGTGCAGCATGTGATGTCAGAAGACACCCAGATATCACACATGATTTGGCCAAAGTTCCAGGTGCGGGTGGTGGTATAGGCAATACTGATGGGCATGACCAAGATAGACACCAGGAGGTCCGTGGTGGCCAAGGAGCCAATGAGATAATTGGCTGGGGTGTGGAGCTTCTTGGTGAGTAAGATCGTGGTGAGTACAAAGGCATTGGAGAGGACAGTGGCCAGTGTGATGATGGACAGGACCACCACGAGGGAGATTTTGAGTGCCTGCAGGACCTGTGGGTCCCAAGCCCCTGTAGCATTCAGGGATCTGTTGGAGGCCTCTGGGGAAAGGCCTTCTATGGACTGGTTTGTCAGAGACATGCTCACCGTTTCTCTCTTCCCCTAGACTTCCACACGAACAGCTCCCTCCTTCACTGCTGTCCCACTCAAAGTTCAAGGTCATTCTTTGGCTTCACAGTTGTGGAGGCCATAGATCTGAGCAGAGCACAGCAGATAGACCTCAAGGATACCAAGACCCCTCCTAGCTGCTTCTGGAAGCAGATGAACCCCAAGGCATCCTGAGGTTCTGGAACCTTTCCCAGCAGATGGTCCAGCCCAGTGGACACAAGATAGATTTCTTAGACAATTAACAGGGTCTCACCGGAGCATGGGCAGGGGATTCCGGGGTTTTTGCCTTCGGCATTCTAACTTTATTCAAAACATAAGATGTCAACATATTTAACAAAAACTTCAACGTTTCCCTGATCTCACTTAGAGAGATTTTGGATATCAGATCAATTCCAGAGGGCTTTTAGAACTGGAGACAAGTAGGACTAGCTGATTCAGAGGTGCGCCATCAGCAGCTCCATTTTCCCAGGGTCCTCCCAGCACGTCATGAGTCCTCAGCATCCGCTCTACCCTGCTGACGGCTTCGAATCTGACTAGACAAAACATTCCCGTTACCAAGACTCAAAAGAATGCATGAGCTAGGAGAAGGCAAAACAAGTGGGTCACCGCTGGCTCACAGAGATGGAGACGTGTTCAGAAGCTCTGAGGTTTGAGAAAGAAAAAGAGAAAAAAAAAATTAGCAGAATGAGATCCTAGAAAGAGGATTCTGGAAGCTGAAATGGTAAGATGAAAAAGGTGCTGCCTTATATGCTGTCCCTGGTGCTGTGAATTTGGCTTTCTTGGGATGTGTCTGTGGTAATGTGCCTCGCCCACACAATTCCCAGAGGGGACAGGGAGTCCTAGCTGATGGAAGTATGGCAGTTTTGTTCCAAGCACATGAAGTCAGTGCTGTCTACTGAATCAGAAAGCGTCACTCTATTTATGCAGCAGTGAAAGCTAAACAAAGCCAAACCGGGCCAAACAAAGGCTTCCAGAAAGAACGCCATATTGTCCACACATTGTCTGGGGGTACAGGGTGACTTACTTCCATCCATCTGAACTTTCCAAATTTCCTAGACTTGTGGTGGAGGGGGGAAGAGGGTAGTGGTATTTCTTTAAGACATGGTCTCACTTAGCCCACAATGGCCCTAACCTTACTCTTTGAAGTGTGGTTCTAGTTAGTTAGGTGGACTTTGAACTCCTGATACTTCTGCCTCCACTTTCTAAATCCTGGGATTACAGTGAAACCCACCATCATGCCTGATTCCTGAATGCTTTTTAATAGTTTGTTTTTATTAATCTATGTTCACTGGTGTTTTGCCTGCGTGTATATCTGTGTGAGAGTGTTGGATCCCCAGGAACTGGAGTTGCAGACAGTTGTGAGCTGCCGTGTGGGGGCTGGGAATTGAGACAGGGTCCTCTGGAAGAGCAGACAGTGATCTTAATCACTGAGCCATCTATTCTTAAAACAAAACAAAACCTACAGCAAGCCATGGATAGTGGCACATGCATTTAATCCCAGCACTCAGGAAGCAGAAACAGGTGGATTTCTGTGAGTTCAAGGCTAGCCTGGAAACAGCAAGTTCCAGGCCAACCAGAGCTGCATAGTAAGATCTTGTCTGAAAAACAAAACAAAACAACAATTCTTATTAAGTAAAGAAGTTAACTGTCAAATTTTAAACCTTTGAGCATTTTTCATGATAGAAATTCACCTCCAGAAAAATAATTCAATTTCATAAATGGAAAATGGATATTTGGCCCCAATGGTTTAGTTGGGTTTTTTTTAAGGTGTTGAAAAATCTATTTGTTTGTTTTTCAAGACAGGGCTTCTCTGTGTAGCTTTGGCTGTCCTAGATTCACTTTGTAGACCTGGCTGGCTTTGAACTCACAGTGATCCATTTGCCTCTGCCTCCCCGAGTGCTGGGATCACAGACATGTGCCACCTCGCCCGGCTCTTTATTATTAAGATTATTATTATCTACTTGTTTTTATTTTATGTGTATTGATGTTTTGCCTAAACGTATGTCTGTGTGAGGGTGTCAGATTCTCTGGAGCTGTAGTTACAGACAGTTGTGAGCTGCTATGTGGGCACTGGGACTTGAACCCTGGTCCTCTGGAAGAACAGCCAGTGAGTGCTCTTAACCACTGAGCCATCTCTCCATTTCCAGGCCTATGTTCATCTCCCATCTCACTGTAGGGGCCACTGCGTCTGTTTTTATGTGTGTTCTGACACGTGTGCCTGGTCAACATGGTAAGTCCCAGGACAGCCATGACTATATAGTGAGACCCTTGACTCAAAACGAACAAACAAAAAACAGCAACAAAAGCAATAATCAGCCAGGTATGGTGGCACATGCCTATGATCCCAGGGGTTTGCAGGTAGAGGTAGGAAGATTAGGTCTTCAAGGCCAGCCTGTATTATATTGCAAGTTTGAGGTCAGTCTAGTTTATATGAGACCCTATTTCCAAGAAAGAGAGGAAAGAAGGAAGGAAGGAAAGAAAAAAAGGAGGGGAAAAAGGGAAGAAACAAAAGAAAAACAACAGTCTCCCAAACAACACTAAACTCCAAATTAAAAAAACATATGCCCAAATTTGAAAGACATTATTATTATTATTTATTTCATTATATATATATATATATATATATATATATATATATATATATATATTGGTTTTTTGAGACGGGGTTTCTCTGTGTAGCCCTGGCTGTCTTGGAGCTTGCACTGTAGAGCAGGCTGGCCTCAAACTCACAGAGATCAGCCAGCCTCTGCCTGCCCGGTGCTGGGTTAAGGGCACACCCACCCGTTATTATTATTAATGATGTTCTTGCTATGTTTATAGCACTGAGCCAGCCCAGGGCCTGAGTCACCCAACCTGTCCAGTGGGCAGTGTATACTCCAACTTACAAACTGGCCAGTGGGCATTCAGAGAGGTGACGTCACCCTGCTGGAAGTAGAAGTATTCAGTCCAGGGCTCTCTAGATCTCTACCTTTCTTCAAATTTTGCAATTCGGGAAGAACAGCCTCAAGGCACAGGTATGGCCCTAGGGATAATAAGTGACAAAACAACCCTCCGCCCGCTCCTGCCCGGCTCCATTCCATGTCTTCGGCTGCTCTCCCTTCCTATGGCTCACAAAGAAGATGTGAAGTCAGATTGGATCCTTACGAAGTTTCTCGCCTGCAGACAGGCTAGTGTGCCTGCCCCACACACTCAGGTGGCCCCAGACATTCCAGCCACCTCACAGCAGGAGTCATACAGGGCAGGAAGGGCTGATAAGCTGGTAGGAGTGCAAGCCCTAAGTGACATCTTGGGAAGGGGGGCTGGGACAAAGGAGATGGCCTTGGTCAGAGGCTTGTACTGAAACTTTTCAAGGAAGTGACATCATTCTAGAAGCCTTCAGCTTTTTCTTTTCCATCCTGAATTAAGTAAGGAGACTTGTCTCTAATCGGTTCGCCTTTGGAGGCACCGACTACAGATCTTGTCTCTCCGTAACACCTCAAATGACAAAATAGAAACATGCTGGGCCGTGGTGGCTCACGCCTGTAATCCCGGCACTCAGGAGGCAGACGCAGGTGGATCTCTGAGTTCGAGGCCAGCCTGGTCTACAGAGTGAATTTCAGGGCAGTCAAGATTACATGGAGAAACCCTGTCTGGGAAAAACAAAACAAGCAAAAAAATAGAAACACAAGCAAAGCTGACCAGCAGATACTGTTCTCACCCAGGAGGTGAGGCCTCAATTTCTGTGTGTTTGTTTTTGGTTTGGTTTGGTTTTTGTTTTTTCAACGCTGGGTTTCTCTGTGAGTCATTTTGGCTGTCCTAAAACTCACTCTGTAGACCAGGCTGGCCTCGAAAGCACAGAGATCTGCCTGCCTCCACCTCCAGAGTGCTGGGATCAAAGGCGTGCGTCACCACCGCCCGGCTACAGTTTTTAACCTGATCAAATCAACCTGGGAGCAGGTGGGATGACAGAAAGTGTCACCAGCGGAGGATAAAGCCAAAGCTGGAAGTACCCCACAACACAGCGTTTGTGCTGTCTCAGGACACGAACTGCCACGGCTGCCTGAGGACCCGTGCTCCCAGTCCTGTGCACGCCTGCTCCATAGACAGACCGTGCTCTGAGTTCACACGCTGATGAGAACGTGAGTGACGGTGGTTTCAACTGTAACAGCAGAAGCTGTAACAAACAGAAGCTCAGGAAGTGCCCCTCAATGGCAGGACCCTGCCCCCCTACCACAGAAGCTTATGGTGCTCTACTTTTCATTTCATCTCTTGGTGCGTGTGTGCATGTCCGTGCGTCCGTGCCTCACACGCACACGAGCTTGCGGTGTGCTGGGAATTGGACCCATGTCATCATCATGCAGGCTACACAAGTCGCCTACCACTGAACTACCTGTCCAGATCTAGCCTCCATGTACAGAGGCTAGAGGTCAACCTAGAGGGTCATTTCTCAGTACTATCTACTCCATCTCTCTCTCTCTCTCTCTCTTTCGCTGGCCTGGAATGTGCCATGCCATCTAGGTTACCTGGCCAGAGAACCCCAGGGGTCCCTGAGTCTCTGCTCTCCTAGTGTTGAGATCACACACGTGACCTACCATGTCAGGCTTTTGTGCACCTGTGGCCTTTGGCCCCTGAAACACTTTATCAGCTGAACCATCTCCACAGCCCTAGATTTTTATTTCAAAATATGGTGGTGGACGTACGGGTTCTGTTCTCTCTTTCTATTTATCTCGTGTAGTTTCATCTGATCTTGAACTTGATAAATAGCTAAGGACAACCTTGAACTTCTGATCCTCCTGCCTCTGCCTCCTAAGTGCTGGGATTACAGGTGGGTGCCACAAGCCCTGGCTTGCACAGCGCTGGAGATCAAACCCAGGGCTTTGTGTATGATAGGTGAGCGCTCTACCAACGGCTGTGCCTGGACCCTTTTTATTCAAACAGCTGAAGGAAGCTGAAGTTGAGAGAGAGAGAGAGAGAGAGAGAGAGAGAGAGAGAGAGAGAAGGTGTGCTGACTGGGGAGAAAAACAAGGAGCCCTATCCTTGAATGTCCGTGAGTGACCTCCTCCCAGGAACCTTCACTGGGGCCAGCTCAATCTTCTCCCGGCTGAGTCAATTCAAACGGGCCCAGCCGGCCCTGAAAAGTCACACAAGACATATTTTCAGTTCTTCCCACCCAACAGTCCCCAGTCGTGGAACCTGAAGCCAGACCCTTTTCCTCCCGGCCCCTCCTCATTTGTCAATTACAACAACACTGCTTTTCTCCCAGAATCCTCCTGTGGTTTCAGCAAAGTCAGGACACCCTTGGCAGAAAAACTGGCACATAGCAGGGGTCCTTCCCCCACCCCCTTAACCTAAGCTTCCTGCCCTGGGCTCTGGGA